TCGGTGCCAGGACAGGCGGAGAGCCCGGGGGCTGTGCAGCCTGGAGGAGACTCAGAGGGAATCTGATCAATGCTGAGCAAGAGCTAAAGGGCCCCTGGGGGCAAGAGGCTGGGGCCAGACTGGTCAGTGGTGCCCAGCGACAGGACAACGAGCAATGGGCACCAACTGGAACCCAGGAGATATGACCAGAAGGAGACACTTCTTTGGTGTGAGGGTGTCAGAGGCTGGAGCAGGCTGCCCAGAGAGGCTGTAGAGTCCACCCTCCACCCTCCAGTTCTGCAGCCAGCCTTGCAGCACTGGGGTGGGGCTGTGGAACCCCAAGGGAATGCTCTCTCCCCCAGCATCCAGCCCAGGCTCTGCTGTGGCTTCTGAGGACTCAGAGGTCCCTCTTCTGCATCCTGTGCTGCAGGCTCCCAAAGTTTCTGGTAGCACAAAACCTTCCTGCTCGAGCTGCAGGCTCCTCAGCTCCATCTCTGCAGAAGCTGCTGTGAACAGGGAGAACAAATGAGATTCTGCAGTGGTCCCACACGAGCTCCCTCAGGTCTCCGTGGGGATTCTGCAGGCAGAAGCCCAGCAGCAGCCAGCCTTTGAAATTGTATCTCAAACTTCTCCTTTCATCCCCCCACCAGTAGTCACTGCAGCAGCTTGGTCTCCCTCCTTCCCCGACAACAAAGGCAGAAAGCTCCTACAGATTTCAGGCAGCCAGATCCCACACCCCAGAGCTGCCAGCTCCCAAATTCTCCCAGCAAATTCCCATGGCAGGGGACAAATGGTATAAAAAAGTAACCAGAGGAGCATCAGACTCTCCCAGAGACTGCCCCACACCCAAGATCACACCGAACACTTGATTCCACCTTTGTCAGAGCTCAGGTCAGAGCTCAGCTGCGTGGGACCCCTCGGCCGGGTCCTGCCAAGCCTCTGCAGTGACCCACAGAGCTCTGAGCCCAACGAGGACACCAGGATATCTCAATAAAAGCAGCCACGCTCACCAACCTATTTCCATTCTCCCTGACGGCTCAACCAGTAAACAAAGAGCATTACTCAGTTGGGAGCAGAGATGTTTTCTAATTAAATTCATCTTAGAATGAAAAAAAAAAAAAGCCAATCTAGCTGCTTTATAAAGAGCTGCTTCAGCGTGGCCATTTCCTCTTGGCATTTCTAGACCCTAATTTGCAGCTGAATTCAAGCAAAGAGACCCCTGGACCCATGGGCAGCCATAAATGGTTTCAGACAGGCTTTGTACCAGCTTAAAAGTCTTTCTGCATAAATTCAAATACAAAAAAAAAAAAAAAAAATCCTCCAGGGCTTTCTCTTGTATCTCAATGCTTAAAACTATTAACAACAAAATCCCTCACTGTAAGCCTCGTGGAGCAATGTTTTGTAAGAAAGAGCATGTTCTGAGTCCAGAGCAGACCAAGCAGAGCCTCACTCCTCTCAATGAAGTGCTGGGTAAAGCTCCAGGCAGGATCTCACGTGCACCATCCTACACCTTCCCTTCTTCATCTGCTACCAACACGCTCCACGCTGTGCTCTGCCAGCCACAGATTTTATTTAGGACTCTCCAGAGTCCCCTATTAGGACTCTCCCTCTAGTTCTTTGATTTCCTCAAGGTGTGGACAGAGGGAAGAAGGTGACCCCAGAACAGTCACACACCCAACCAGTTTCCATCTGGGTCTCACTGCTGAGCCCCTGAGAATCACCGCTGGGCCTGGACCTCCATTTCCCACCCTCTTACAGCCCAGGCTTGGGGCTATTTCAGCCACTCTGGATATCCAGACAGATGTGAGGTTAATTAAATCCAAGTGTCAAGCTGATGATATTCAGCCACCAGTTTAAACAAGCTCCTGTCTCTACGGGAAGACATGGAACGCTGTCGGAGCCTGCCAGCACCTTCACAATCACAGAGGGACAGATTCTGGCTCAATTTGGGATTAACGCTGCCCTGACCCTCACACAAACCCATCCCAGTAGCAGCAGTTTATAAGCTACTGGGGAGACTGGTCTTAAGAGACAATCGGTAGCAGCTGACTTGGAAAAACAATAACTGAACTTTTCAAAGTGCTGACGCTCCACACGGCGCACAGGAACATGTTTGGCACTTCCAGCCCAGGCAGAGGCTTTGCTCTAGCCCAGAAACCCCACGGGTCTCCCCAGCAGCTGCACACAGGGAACCAAAAGTAAATAAATTAAGAGAAATGACTAGGCAGCCAGACTGTGTGCTCCTCCCCAGCGGCTGAGACAAATGAGGTGACAGAGCGAGTGTCACTTGAGGCTCTGTTCCGAAATTTAATGGAGAAGCTTGTTTAACAAGAATCCTGCCATGGGACAACTTCAAGATTCGCCCACTCTCCTTGTCTGCTCTCTCTTTCCAGCCCCAAATCTACTTCTCTTTCCCCATCCCTGCCTGAGCCATCTGCCCTTGCTGAGGTTCAACAGAGACAAGAGGGAGAAGGTGGCAAGCAGGGATGGGAATGTTTCCACTGCAGAAATGCCACATGGGGCCGTGCCCCCCTCCTCTCAAGGCCTCTGGGCTGGCTATCTGAGTGTCCTCCACCTGGCAGGAGCCACAGCATCCATCTCCCCTTGGCCCACGTTGATGGCTGGAGAGAGGTGAATTTTTTTTTTCCCTGAAAGGGTTATAAAACATCTCACTGTGCCAGGCTGTCCACGGCAGTGGTGGAGTGCCCACGCCTGGAGGGGTTTCCAAGCCCTGGAGATGTGGTGTGAGGGACACGGGGCAGTGGGGACCTGGCAGTTTGGGACTGATGATCTGGAAGGTCTTTCCCAACCG